CCACACACACACAAACATACAAACATACACACACACACAGACACACACACACAAACACACACACACACACATACACACACAATGGTAACTAGTATACTAACCACAACATGGAGTTCAAAGAGCCAGGCTTAATGAATGTCTTAGAAATGTAAAAGTTTCTGCCCAGCGCCACCTGGCGGATAACAGCCGGTGTGCCTAACTTAATTAGATCGCACTAAAATATACACCAGTGAAAATGTTACCCTAAAACACACAGCTTCGAAGAAGCTTGAAAAAAAAGACAACTCAAAAAGAAATAGCATCATTCACATTCTACTTCTACGCTCCTCAACGCCTGTCATACAAAATATGCTTTCTCGTTATGGACGCTAGTACAGCAACATATTTTAAAAAGATGGCAAGAAAAGAGCCAATGTCAATCATGCAGAATGATCTACTATCAAACAAAAACCGTCAATCCATTTCAGAACAATATTTGCAAAGCGTGCTATGAACAAACCGGGGTTAAAAGTTGCGATACATCAAACAAAATATCGATTCACTCTTTACCATTTGGCCTACAGTTACTGTCAACGGGCAGCATCGTATGTGGCTTCACGAAAGAAACACAAAAGCCAAAGTTTTTAAATTAAAAATTCAGCCTACAAGCTTCACAGTTTCACAAATGAATGACGTTCTTAAATGCTCAGAATGTGACAAACTCTTCACTGCCAGAATTAGTCTAACTGACCATAGCAAAACCCCCAAGTCATCTTACTCCTCATTTCTTCTTTCGCTTGAGAAATATTTACCTCTCTGCAGATGCATTGGTCATCTTCAGACAGATAAATGGATGAACTGTAATTCTTATTACTAACTATTAGTATTATCATTACACTACTACTACTACTACTACTACTACTACTACTACTACTACTACTACTACTACTATTATGATTATTTATTATCATTATCATATAAGAGTGCCCCTGGACTCTGGACATTACATCCTGGCAGCTTCTTTCCCACCCTTTTTTTTTTTTTAAAAATACAGTTTTAAGTCATATATATGGCAATCTGAACCGAATCAAGAGGTGTAAATGATGTCAGGTCAATGATTACACTTGTCTGTGAAATGATTATAACGACAACCACGCTGAGGACCATATCAATAATAATAACAACAATTGTACAAATTTTATGCAGTATTAAGAATAATGCTACTAAAATATAATGATATTAATAATAGCAATATTAACAATATCAACAATATCAACAAAAGCAACGATAACAACTACAACAATAATCAAGAGAGGGCAATAGCAAGAACAATAATAATAAAATAATAGAAATAACAGTAACAACATTAATAAAAATTACAATAACAAATACGATAATAACAACAACAACAACAATAATAATAGTAATAATAATAATAACAACAACAATAATAATAATAATAGTAATAATAATAATAATAATAATATCATCATCGAGAACATCACCCTTTCACAACGCTTTTTTTTCCTCAGAGAGATCTAATAACTAAAAACACACTGCAGAGTTCAACGTTTCTCTTCCATTATTTCACACATCATTTCTTCTCTTTATGAACGCCACTGGTGTCGTCGTCGATGTTGCAGCTCGCCTCTCATCGATTCCCGCCAACATAAACTTCCTAGATCATTCCTAAAGCGAACACTCTCATCCAGCAATATCTCTATGCAGGGTTGATGAAAGGGGTTACGTTAGGACTGATTCCAACTTTTCCTTTCACAGCAATTTTCTGTCAGTACAAACTACCATTGTGCTTCACAGGTGCATCACTGTCGCGGAACTGAGTAGGCCTCTCTGTATACTCAAAAAGTACCTGTCTTGATATACCTTCCATCGTCCCCCATTTAATCAGTCGAGACCACTTTTAATCGCGCTGCAAACCCCCCCCCCCCAAAAAAAAAAAGAAAAAAAAGAAAAAGAAAACAAAAACAACAAAAAACCACCAACAACAAAACAACAACAAAAAATCCCAATAAGAAAAACAACAACAACAAAACTCCGCAATAATATAACAATACGAACTAACGTTAAACTTTTGCCACATTATTCAGTTCTTTACCCGTTGGTCCCTTGTAAATGATTACCCCACTGCTCGTATCTTCCTCTTGCTCGAGTTTGTCTTTGAGGCTGAGGGAGTGATCAGCATTGTCTGCGCTCCCCCCATTGCAGGCGAGGCTGTCCTCGAGTGCTTTCCCTTTAGTTTCCTCCAGAGCGAACACTAGAAAGACGCAGGCCAGAAAGAGGCCAGACATAACGGCGTAGGAAAGGGCCACCCGATTATCCAGGTCGATGACAAAAGGCGCCACAATGCCCCCAATTCTGGCACCAGTGTTTGTGAAACCATAGCCCAGATTGCGAGTGACGGTTGGGTAAAGCTCAGAACCCCAGGTTTGAATGCAAGACCATGCCGACCCAACCATCATTTTTGCGGTGAGACTGAGTCCATTGATCGCAGGTCCGCGGATACCGTCGGGAGCAAATAAGTAAGCCAACAGGCACCCAAGGCAAGACACGCAAGTGATTGCAAAGAAAAACAGGGACGTTTTCTGACGCCCAAATTTGTTGTTGAAGAAAAATGTACTTGTTTGTACCGGGATTTCCAGAACGCCTAACAAAAAGATGTTCAGGTAGAGACTCCCAGAAAGGCTCGCGACTCCAAATGAAATACCATAGAAAGAGAGAGCCATACAGAACCAGAAGAAAGTCACGACCAAGGTGATCTTGGTCATGCGCCAACCCCTGAAGATATCAATGTACGAGTATTTCCTGCCCTTGTCTCGAGCTTCTCTTTCCTTGAGCATGATCTGTTGAAGGACAAACTGAGTGTTTTCTGGTAGTGTTTTTCTATTGAGTCGAGCCATCTTGACAAATATCTCCTCAGCTTCTTTTAGCCTTCCCTTCGTAGCTAACCAACGGATGCTTTCTGGAACGAAACCCCACCCTAGTAAGGAGGGTATGGATAGCACTCCACAAGCGATGTGAAGATGAGACCAGTTTTTCAGGATGAGAGCTGAGACTGAAAAGAGAGCCACACCGAGAGTCCATGACGGAATGATTGAGAGAAGAGGACGCCACTTAATGGGGAGGAACTCCATGGGATATGGGAAGACCACTACGACAATTGCCCCGATGCCAATACCAATGAAGAACCTCAAAGCAGCAAACATGACCCAGGAGGTAGAGAAAGCAGCGATGAAGTTGAACGTGATATGCATGAGCACGAAGAAGTAGAGAGAGCTCCGACGCCCGAACACGTCCCCCATCTGACCAGCAAGAAGCGCGCCGACCAGAACTCCACACATCTGTACGGACGTAATGGTCGCCTTCACCCACTTTCTGTCACACACAAGGTCCCACTCGGAGATGACAGTATCGTCTGAACCATGGAAGACATAACCAGAGCATGAAGTGCCGTTCACGCTGCACACATTGAGCGTTTCGTTCGCACTGAACGTGTGGTTGACTCCATCTTGCAGGCAAGTGAAGTCAGGGATCATCCCGGCGTAGGACATCTGCAGCATGCTCCAGCCGATGGTGAACTGGCAGGATACGATGCAGAAGACGACAAGGACCTGGAACTTGCTCATACCACCCAGCTCATCGATGAGGTCTTCGAACGTCTGCATCTTAACAGGGCCAAGAGTCTGAATCAAGAAAAAAACCCAGATATGATAAAAGCCAAGGAATAGTGACACCAGAAGTAACAACTGCAAGTGTTGTATCTTTGCTAAAAGGAACTAACTATAGCATTGTCCCAATAATATAAACACTGCCCTTTGATTTATATATATATATATATATATATATATATATATATATATATATATATATATATATAAAATACATTATATGGATTCAATATCGGAATCATTCTCAAATTGCATACGGTATCATTTACACATACAGCTATTAATATATTATCAATATCTAGCTCCCAATAACAAGTAGCTCAAGTGTCTTAAAAACAAAAAAACACGAAAAAGTGAAATAAAAAGGGATAAATAAATCTACGTGGAATCTGTCTGTTTTCTTTAACGACAATACACAAAATATTATTCACTGGAACAGAGGGAGATAATCTCTCCAGCGACGGCTCCATCATTACACTCCAGCCCTACGTCAGTTGGAACACTTTCGGGATACTTCATCTACTCGTATCGAAGACGAACTTCCAGAGTGGAAAAATGCCTAAACAAACAAACAAACAAACAAACAAAAACAAAAACTCAATTTGTGACCTGTGTGTCTAGACGCATACAATTCAAATTAAAACTGAGCTTTAATCTAAGATAAGGTAGCAAAACACTGTCGGCTACAAGATAAAGAATGCTAACGAAAATAATCACGGCCATTCATGATATAATATAAAAAAAGAGAATTTTTCACCCCTAAATGGCATCGTGAGTTCTGAAAACAGCCACATTATGTCTAGTGTATTATTAATGGGCTGCCTTTTTCCTTGACTCCTTTTTCTATCACACAATAGGTCTCATTCGGAGATAATGGTGTCATCTGAGCCGAGAAAAAAGTACGCGAGGCAACCAGTGCTAATGCGGGGGGAAAAGTCATACCCGGACCACAGATTGTGATATTTGGACAACTCTTTTTAGCCCATTCAGAATCGAGAATGAAACACGATTTTCCTTTACAGACAATTTGACAGGATCCATCAACGAGCTTTTATGTAATCCAGGGCAGCTCTTCGAAAACTGCTGAAAAACGCGAGGTACCTGTCACAAAAGGGCGCAAGCACAGTTCACACCAACAAGAAAGCTACGAAGCAGGTTTCAGGTGGAAAAATAAGTCACTGAGTGGTTGGTTGGCGGGTGCTCAGGTGAGTTCTTTCCTATCAAACCTCTTTTCTCCTTATCTTGCCTCCTTATTTTTTCTGTGTATAACACTTCTGATCTTCGACATTTATAAATGACTTATTTGAGTTGCAAGGGTCGTAAAACTAGAAAAAGACCCCGCCCCCGAATATAACCAAAACAAAACATGTAGAACAGACACAACTAGCATCTCTTTCTCGTGAGGTTAAGAAACGAATTCTACACCTGGCAATCGAGTAACACAGAAGTCAAGCCAAGTAAACATAATGCATCGTGGCAATCCTGTGAATCACGCAAGAGGGTTGTCGCGAACTTTCATTAAAAAAAAACCCCAAACAAACAAAACAAACAAAACAATCAGCAACGTTTGCGTAATACAGGTTTCTTTTCGAAACACGTTCACGGAAACTAACGTCAACATGCGTTTATTTCTCTTTTCAAAACCACCGCTTTCCTTTTCTCCATACAACTATTACATTAAAGTATTCCAAATATGTGCCATGGTTAGGCCTACGTCTTCCGCGCTGCAAACAGGTTACATCATCATCTCCGAATGAGATCTCAAGTGACCCAAGAAGAAAGCCAATCCGAATGATTATTTTGAGTCCTCACTGGGAATGAAGGGGGAACGCGGATCGATCTAAAATATCAGATCAAGGCCCATACTGGCCCTATCTCGAAATTTTCTTTTAAAAATCGAGTTTTGTGTTTGCGTTTTCGAAAAAGTATGCAGTTACAAAAAAAAAGGAAAAAGAAAAGAAACTGAATTAGCCTATTCGAAAAAGAATACAAGGCAGACACATCCTTAAAAAAGAAAAAAAACACATATTTAGAGAGAGAGAGAGAGAGAGAGAGAGAGAGAGAGAGAGAGAGAGAGAGAGAGAGAGAGAGAGAGAGGGAGAGAGAGAGAGAGAGGGAGAGAGAGAGAGAGAGAGAGAGAGAGAGAGTAAGAAAGAGAGAGAGAGGGGGGGGGGGGGCGAAATAACAACAGCCTAGACCTAGTGACCTTCTTTCCGTGCACGCGTGCTGGCATGGATTCGGAGCGATCTTGAGTCACTAGTGAAAAACTAACATAACAACCATGTACTAGTATTAGATCTAGATATAGATATCTAGTAAGTCGCACATTTGCCCTGCACACAAACACGATATTCTGGAATACTTAAAAAAAAAGCATAACTTCGTATACATTCATTCATAGTTTTCAATTCTGTTTCCTTTATCTGGTACTTAAAAAGACAGATTATAACAACAATGCATACGATAGTATGCAAATTTGTACTTCTAGTCTGTATGATGGTTCGAAACATCCCGCGACTTTGCTTTTGATCTGCTGCTGTCGGACCTATTATTCTGTGCCTTCTTCGCCTTTATTGAGTTTAAAATGCTGCTGCGGCTGTAGCTACTACAACTTCCCGTTCCTTTTCATCTGCCCTCTACTGCTGCAGACAAAAATTGCTGGCGTTTCCGATGGAGCTGCTTTTGGCGGTGGCGGGATTATTGCTGCTAATGCTGCTACGACTGCTGCTGCTGCTGCTACTGCTGCTACTGCTGCTGCTACTGCTGCTGCTACTACTACTGCTGCTACGACTGCTGCTGCTACTACTGCTGCTGCTGCTGCTACTACAGCTACTACTACTGCTGCTGCTACTACTATAACTACTGCTGCTGCTGCTACTACAGCTACTACTACTGCTGCTGCTACTACTATAACTACTACTGCTGCTGCTGCTACTACTACTACTACTACTACTACTACTACTACTACTACTACTACTACTACTTCTTCTACTACTGCTGCTGCTACTGTTGTTGCTCTGGTGTGGTGGGTTAGTGGTTATGCTGTTGGGGTCGTAACCGAAAAGTTGTGGCTTCGATGCCCATAAAGCACACAACGTTGCGTACTTGAGAAAATCATGTTACATGAATTTCCCTCACTGCACCGAGGTGGTAATGATAACCCGAATAAAGACAGCTGAAGATCCTGTCGGTTTGTTCGTGTTCGAGCGCTTAATCGGCTGCGGTACGTCTACTGTGTGGTTCCCATGACGATGAGGATGTTTGCGAATATTTAAGGTCTCTTGAGTTCTGAGGGTAATACTAGATCTAATTGCTGAGCGGGGATGCTCTAGATTCTATGCAGGGATGGTTATATTATTTAATTTATTATTAGATTTCTACAATCTACTTTCTGCAACTGCTGTGCCTCCAAGTGTTACTGCTGCTAATTCTGCTGCTACTTGTACTGTTGCTGCTGCTGCTGCTGCTGCTGCTGCTGCTGCTGCTGCTGCTGCTGCTGCTGCTGGTTCTACTACTTCTACTACCACATGTCCTGCATGTCACTACAACACCACTGCTTTTCATAATACCACTTCTCACTACATTTACTAAGTACCATACTACTTCTTCTACTGCTGGTGGGGGTCGTACTGCTGGCTGCGCTGCTGCTGCTACTGCTGCTGCTACTACTACTACTACTACTACTACTACTACTACTACTACTACTACTACTACTACTACTGCTACTACTACTACTACTACTACTACTACTACTACTTACTACAACTACTGACGACTGCTATTGTTGTTGCAGAAGTGACAACAACAGCTACTGAAACTAGATTTACATGCTGAAAGAAAGAAAATTATGATGTAAACACCGATCACGTGATCACGTTCAATTGATATATAACGACGGTCAAGGCCAGAGGTCAGAGGCATTACAACACTCCCCCCCCCTCCCCCACCCACCATCCTAAAGAATCAAGCAAAACAAGAATAAACTAAAAAAAACCCCAACAAAAACATGACAAACTCCACAGGCACTCCGTGAATTTCTGCAGCACAAAACATCGCGTCATGAATGTTATAGATGTACACAAATCAATGCATTCATAAAGTCTAAAAGAAGTAAAAATCAGTCTCAAGATCCTTACTGATCCAACAGAACCAACGTAGAGTGGTGGCAAAACTTAGTAGGCCCTCAGTCCTGGAGGGTTTTGCTAACAGTATAGGAGGAGAATCAGTGATGGCGAGGGAGGGTCACGACTGGAAAGCTCTGTGGTTGGCCGCTAACGGTCAATCAATAAGCCCTCAGCGAGCGAATCAGCCCGGGAGGCGACAAAACCTCGCTACTGCTGCTCCACTCTCACTTCTCTATCTCTGTCTGCGAACGTTCAACTTTTAACAGAAACTCCTCCGTTTATTTCCGTCAGAGCTCTTTCTGACCTGGAGGATCGGTGCTAAAACAACCGCGCCTCGTCAGTGCAGAAGTGCCTTTCCTGAAATGACGTCTGAATTTCCAACTTTTTCCCCACTGAACCCAGACAGCCTACCTGTGTTCGGTTTTCGGAAGCAGCGATGAGTTCAGGGACAATTTTCTCAAACACGAACCTGTGAGACGAGTGGGATTTTTATAGTCGTGGCCCGCTGAAGTTCGCGAGAGGAGCGCTAGCGAAGCGCGAAGCTTCTGTTTCGCAACGGTTTTGGCAAGGGCAAACCATTTCGAGGGGGATTTGTATAACCCAGAATAATAAATCTACTTTCCGTAGGTCACGAATACTGACTATCACTAATTCACATTCTCAAATACATGTATACATTTTCACATATTATACTCAGATGCATTTCAACACCCGCTTGACATGACGTGTTCAAGTATACACTCACACACACACGCGCGCGCTCACACATATATTCATACACACTCACTCACACACACACACACACACACAC